AAAAAAAAAAAAAGAATTGTGTCTGGCTTCATAACTACCCGTTTGTTGAATGAATGAATCAATGAATGAATGAACGAATGAACGAACAAGACCCAATTTGTACTGGAGAGAATTCAAACAGGTGGACAAGACAGGTTGACTTGAGTGAAAAAGGTATTGTGACAAGAATATAGAGTCAAGAAGACAAGTCTGGCAGATCATGCTACACTTCACAAGCTATTTAGTATCAGGAGAAGGACTTTCAATTTCATTCTGTGATGGACCACTGTTTGCTTTTAATTAGGAGTAGGAAAAGGTTAGTAAAACCGATGTAGCAACAGTGTACTGGGATGGACTGACAGGGAAAGAGGGAAAGCGAAGAAACTAAGCTGTTTTGAGTGGCCAAGCAGGAAGTGATAAGATTAGTGCATTGTGATAAGATCCCTGCATCGTGCCTGCTTTCCTTGCCACTCCACGCGCCCCACCCCACCACCCTCACTCAAAAGTACCTGGAGTGGGACAAGAAGCACCATCGGGAAAGGTACTTACTGGCTAAGACTTTGGTTTTTTTCTAAAGAACTGTTTTATACTATTTTGTGTTTACAGAATAAACATACAAACCTAGTTGTAATATTACCTTTAAAAAATGTACACTACAATCTGCAGAGGAATATGTAATCCAAAAAGTAGCATGAGATCAAGATGAAATCAAATGCAAGTTTCAACAATGATTAAAACACCCAGGTGCATGTCCTGTATGTCCGGTTATTAACACTACGGAACATCACTGGTGTGATTTTAGCAATGGTTAGCATTAGCGAGCTGCTCATAGAAAATTATGTTTCTGAATCACACATTTCACTTAATAGGGGTCCTCAAGCTTTGCCTGCTACTAATTTTTGGAGAAGATAAAATCCTCTGATAAAATACCCATTCAAAACTCTCGAGGTTTTGGATGTAATACTCTTCCACCACAAACAATATTTCCACTGGACACATGTAAATTCTACCAGCCCCCCTATTGAGAAATACAAAAGGCAAATTTTTTCGCGTAGTACCTAATAACAGATGTAAGAGAACAATGGCTTTTTAACAGGAATAATGAACTGCAATCATCATTCACGTTTCATACTCACTGTCTGCATGGCTTGGAAGGGTGCTGTGTTAATAGTTACTGTACTGCTGCTCGCTGGAGGTGACTGGAAGCTCTGTTCAGAGCCCTTTGACAGGGGAGGGTTTGGAGAAGCAAGTGAAGACGGTTGGTTGCTTGGGGGGACTGCTGCCTGGGAAGAGAAATGCAGGATCAACCAATCACCTATGGTATAACAAGCAGTTCACTTACTCCAAACCCCAGACTAGCATAAGTCAGCAGGCTCTGTAGGATGACATCTGGACACAGGAATGCAAAAGAATAGCTTTTGCTTACAATTTCAAATCTCAGTTGCTGAGACTGCACACTAGCACTTGCTTTACACAGCTTGCTGACTCAGTGAAAGTCTTGCTAATAATCGGTCTAACAGAGGAGGGACTGAACTTTTTATGAGTAGTGCCTAGTCCTTTTCAAACCCTGAAATGGTCATTTTCCATTAGGTTAAGAATCTAATATTATTCCAAATTCATACAGCAAAATTAGGCTTAAGAAAAACCTGGGTTAGTTGCTTAGTCACTGTTAATTTTTCCCTCTTTTAAAATCTTACTAATGGATTTCTAAGTCAGCTGCTTAAAAAAGGGAACCAAACTTGGCCTAATTTCAATAATCCTTATTAAGGGAATAAGCAAGTCTTTGATTTAACAGATCATAACTCCAAAGGTTTAAAAAGATAACAAAACTCAGTCCCAATCAGATTATGAAGCGGACACCTGTGACTAATTTGGTAACAAATATTTCTTCTTCTTAAAATAAGGAGCCAAGTAATTTCAATTTAAACCAAGTTAGTATCATAAAAACTAATGCTCATCTATATTTTCTTATATTCTATAAGGAATACATATTCTTGTATAAGTTACCCCCCCCAAAAAAAACCCCAATAAAACCTAAGGGTTGTTATATGAATCCAAAAAAATCATCTTATCTTGTTATACCTACAACAATAATTGGCTCAAACTTAGCAATAACTATCACTTTAGAATTGAAAGCACAAACATAATACTGTAAAATGCTTTTGACAAAGTTAGTCAAAAAGAGAACGTAAATAATTCCAATTTGAGCAAATGCTAATAACAACACTGTAACGTCGCTGAGTCTTCAGTTATATGAATAAAAAGATTTTTCTCCCAAGAATTCTTATAGTGGGCTGGCCGAGTGGCGCGATGGTTAGGAGCTGGCTTGGGATGCCAGAGGGCCCCAGTTCGGGTCCCACATGTGAAGGCCAGTGACACTGCCCTTCACGGCTGAGATGCTCAACAGCAGCTCAACCTGGAGCTGGGCTGCCGTGGGTCGCCGGCAACGGCGTGGGCTGCAGCCCCTGTGGCAGTGGGTTGCCATGGGCTACTGTGTGTAGCCAGCAGCCAGCATAAGCAGCCAGCAGCTGCAGTGAGCAGCTGTCCAGAAGCCGGTGACTGATCTGCCTCACCCAGGAAGAGTGCAATGATGGTGCCAACTTGGGCCAGTGAAGCAACGTCCTCCACAACTAGACTGAAGAACAAAACAACAGCAACTTGTCTNTGATTCCACTTATATAGCATAAGTACCAAGTAGTTAAATTCAGAGACAGAGTAGAATGGTGATTGCCAGGGTTTGGGGGGAAATGGGGATGGGGCGTCAGTGTTAAAGGGGTATAGAGTTTCACTTGAGGAAGATAAAGTCCTAGAGATGGATGATGGTGATGGCTGCATAACAATCTGGATGTACTTATGGCCACAGAACTATATACTTAAAAATAGTTAAAATGGTAAATTTTATGCTGTATATATTTTTACCACAATTAAAAAAGAAAAAAGCAGGTTAACTATTCCAGATCAAAAATAAAAATAAAATGAATTCTCATTAATACAGTAATTGAGAAGGCACATGACAAAAATATCCTGTAAGTAAATCACCTGCCCTACATTTTTACAGAACAGGTGAGAAGGGAATGTGGTCACTTGTGGCTAGGTCTAGCGATTTATATTTACTACCTCTTGTGATTAACCAAGTACCCAGAATGCACAAATCATCTGCTCAGGCTTCTGTTTTAGAAGACTCAACGGAGTCTGAAATTGAAAAGACTCAGTAGAGGTCTGAAATACCAACACTATAAATGTACATGTGCGTCAGGGCTGGCCGAGTGGCGCATTGGTTAAGAGCCGGCTTGGAACGCCAGCTCTGAGCAGCAGGGCCCCGGTTCGGATCCAACATGAGGGCCAGTGATGCTGTGCCCTCTACAGCTAAGATGGTGAACAACAGCTCGACCTGGAGCTGGACTGCCGTGAGTATGCTGGCAATGGCGTAGGCTGCAGTAAAGCTGCAGTGGGCTGCCATAAGCTACGGTGTGTGGCCCGCAGCCAGTGTGAGTGGCCGGCAGCCAATGTGAGCTGCCAAGAGCTGCTGTGGGCGGTCATCCAGAGGCTGGCAACCGATCTGCCTCACCCAGGAAGAGCACAATGATGATACCAACATGGGCCAGTGAAGCAACGTCCTCCACAACTAGACTGAAGAACAAAAAGGACAGCAACTTATCTGTTCCCCTTCCCCCGATTCCCCAATAAAATCTTAAAAAAAAAATCTACAAGTGCGTCTTAAATTAGGAAATAACTACAAAGTTGCTTATTTCTTTCATCATTTAGAATAGCATAAAAGATCAAAATAGTCTCCCATCTCTAAGCAAACAGTGGAATAAGCATACAAAATTATATCTTCACATTAATCAATACTTTTGTTATAAGAGGAAAGAAAAGAGAAAAGGCCAAACAGCCATCTGTCTGTGCTAAAAGAATTAACAGAATGGTTTCAAACCCTTCATAAAAGCAGCTAGACAATAATGCCGAATCTAGATCTATCACTGCCTATGGCAGTCACAGTAATCGGGTTTAAAAATGAGCCTACCTACATATTCATATAAATCAACCATCTAAGTTCCACCTCGACAAAAGTTAAAATTAATGGTGCACTTAACTAAACAGAGGAAACAGCATTAAATGTTTGTCAACACTTGAATATGTAAAGAGAAAATGCTTACTCAGGAAAAAAAAGCTAAAGCGTCACTATAGAATTGCTTTCCATTCAATTAGCTGTCATCTAAGTTTTCAAAATAGCACATGCAAAGATCTCACCAGTCTCTTGGGAAAGCACAGTTTGTTCTATGTGTATAGCTGGCAGTTGGCACTGGGGTGGTGTCTGTGTACTTGCTGTAGTAAAACTTTGATTGTAGCCAGGTGAATAGGGGGATTCTTTTATTTCTTGTTCTTTCCGTGGAGGCAGAGGTGCATTAACATTAAATACCTTAAAAGACAAGGGTGTACTGAATCGTTTGTGAAGTTTCATAGAAAATGATTAAGGGTGACATCCAACAAAACCCTGAAACATTAAAAAATGTCTATTTGATGGGTAAAGGAATTGAATTAACATTTCTTTAAAGATAAATGACCAATAATCACATGAAAAGATGCTCAACACCATTAGTTATTAGGGAAATGTAAATCAAAACTACACTGAGATACTGCTTCCTCATACCCATTAAGATGGCTATTACTTAAAAAAAAAACAAAAAAACCAGAAACAGAAAATCTAAGTGTTGGCAAGGTTGTGGTCAAATTGGAACCCTCATGCATTGCTGGTAGGAATGTAAACAGGTGCAGCCACTGTAGAAAACAGCAAGGCAGTTCCTCAAACAGTTAAATATAGAATTACCGTATGATCCAGCAATTTCAATTCTAGGCATATGCTCAAAAATATGGAAAGCAGAGATTCAAGCAGATATTTGTACACCAATGTTCATAGCAGCATTATTCATAACAGCCAAACGGTGGGAACAACGCAAGTGTCTATCAACAGGTGCATGGATAAATAAAATGTGGCATAAAATACATACAGTGGAATATTATTTAGCTATAATTTTTTATTCATAAAAAATAATGAAATTCTGATCCATGCTACAATATGGATGAACCTTGAAACTATTATGCTAAGTGAAATAAGCCAGATACAAAAAGACAAATATTGTGATTCCACTTATAT